TTGTCGGAGGCAAGTGCTTCCAATAGTATTCTACTAGAGTACTTAGTACCTCGAGCTGTACCCAGCTCGCTAAGCGTACCGCGATAGAGTATGTTTTGTTAGGTGTAAAACTCACTGGTCTGCCAAATGGGTTAGTCCCAAATGAAGATCAGCCAGATGATAATATGTTAAAGATAGCTAAACCACCGGAAGGTGAAGCAAAGGATATGATTCCTCACTTTACCGATATAATTATGGACTTAAGTATACAAAACAAGAAGATTGCAATAACTGACTGGTGTATGTTTAAGTTCTCTAACGGGTACGTTAAGCTTGACTTAACAAACGTCGACTCCTTTAAGTTAAAGTGTCCTTCACATAACTACGTGAGTTGGAGACACAACGACGTTGTCAAAACCCAATTTGAAGATTGGTTAAAACAGGGTCTAATTGAAATCAATTATGATGCAACCCCAGTTAACTTAGCTCTCTTAGCGGTCGATCAATATACATCTGATGGGACGGGACGTTTAGTAAAACAAGAGTAGTACTAGACCTGTCACCAATCAACAAACTAATTCCGCAACATAGTTTTCCCTTACCAAAGATAAACGAGATACTACGCATAATGGAAGGTGCGACAATCTTTTCCAAGGTGGACTTAAAAGCTGCATCCCATCAATTACAAATTTATGAGCCGCATAGGAAATACTTTTCCTTTACTTGGCAAGGTAAGAAGTACCAATTTAAAAGTGCACCTGAAGGCTTACACATGTTACCTTCCTTCTTCTAACAAGTTATGATGGAACTATTTGCGGACCTGTCAAATAACGTATCAGTATATTTAGATGATATAGTTATCTTTACAAAGACAGCACATGAACATGCTAAACTCGTTAAGGAAGTCTTTAAAGGGACTAAACCATGCCAAACTTATGATCAACGAGGACAAGTGTTCTTTTGCTAAATATACTATACACTTACTTGGTTACAAGGTATCTGCAGCAGGGGTAGAAATTGATCCAGGCAAGAAACAATTTATGTTGTAAAA